GTAGGGAGAGATAGCATGGGGAGAAATGCCAGATATAGGTGAAGGGGAGGAAGGCAGCAAATCACACTGCCATGCGTGCACCTATGCAACAATCTTGCATGTTCTTCACATGTATCCCAAAACCTAAAATGCAATTAAAAAATAAATAAATAATAAATAAAAATTAAAAAAAAGAAATTTGAATAAAAAGTATTGAACAAAGGAAAGAAAAAATAAAATGTGTGTGCATGATTTGGCTTGTCCTGTTGCCCTTCTGTGATCTATCATGAGAAATATGCAGTCAGATTAGTTCTGCAGTCTAAGAAGAAGGAATATGAGGAATATACTGAATTACAATTCATGGTGTACCCAAGACTAATCAAGTCAAAGTCCTAGTCATAGATTTATCAAATGATTCACAGACCCATAATAAGAAATACATTTTTTGTTGTAAATCACTGTGTTTCTGCAATGAATTATTACATAGTATCATTTCAACAATAGCCAATTAATACACCAACAAAGACCCTCAGTGGTTGACTACTGACAATAGCCGTAGAGTTGCTCAGAATCTAGATATGGTATCGTCTAACTAGTGGGTTTCTTCATTCTTTTTATTAAAAGCTTTTTTTATTTTTCTTCTATGGAAGTCATTCTTAATGTGTGACAAACTTTAGTTTTACATTTTCCCTTTTGATAAATTACAATCGTGAAACTTTAAGTGGGCTGAAAGGATTCTCCACTGAGCTCCTGATTTGCATAAGTTGTTCTAATACTGGACAAAATGACAATTTACTCAAATGGAAATTTTCTGCAGAAGAGAAAGGTGGTTTATAACATGGAGACTTTCCTTAAAACTACACTGAATCTTGCAAATGCTCCTTGAGAAAGTTTCTGTAGAAATTCGTTTCAAGATTTTCATTTTCTTTTTTAGCTTACATGCTTTAATTGTATTGTAGAACAAATTATATTTTCCAAACATCGATAAAATTCTTAACAATGAAACTGAGGGAAAATTTTTAAAGAAGATTTGATGGCTATGGGGGTTATAACCCTAAAGAGCCAAATTGTCAGAGGATCACAATTAGTGTTCTTTTTTTTTTTTCATTTGTTTTTCAGCTGCAACTACTTAGGGAACCCAAAAGTGCACCTGCACTTTGCCACTGAATATCCCTTAAAAAAAAGCAAGTGGTCAATTATGTTGGCAAGTGGCTAATTATGCACACCAGGAGCCAAGTGCAGAAGCAAAAATGTGCACCCCAAAACAGGAAAACTTCTTTAATATGTTGAGTCTCAGGGTGACTTACACATACTGTGTGTTTACCATTTAATGAAGGAAGCAACAATCATGACCAGATATTAACAAGCATTTGTATATCTATGTAGGTATTTATGACTATTTTCAATTAATCATTGTACTATGGAGATACAGAGATAAACTCTTTTTTCCCTCAAGAAACTTAGAATTTTGCTGAGATAAGGTGTGTGTACACATGGAACAAAGACAATAAAGACAGTGTATTAGACATTGGCTCTTTACACAATATGTTTAAAATAAAATAAACTGCAGTGTCCTAAATCAGCAGCTTTCAATGTCCATTATTAGCAAGAATCATACAGTGCCCAAACTCATATATAGGTTTCTTGAGTACACAATATAACATAAAATTGGAAAAAGCAAGAGAATTTCAAAAGAGAGAGAAGAAGATGGAGAAGTCTCTTTATTTAATATTTATTTTTATTGCAACTATTTTTATTTCTGTTTAATGCTCCAGAATTTATGGTTTTATAAAACTGTAGGGATTATGAAGGAGAAAACATTCTTATTTTATTTATTTATATCCTCCCTTTTGATACTGAATAAAGCCTATTAGCACTGCTGTTTAGAAGGTTTGAAAATAAGTAACATGTCAAAAGCACAGAACAAAAAAGCAATCACTTGAGAAGCCATGGGCTTCTTTTCATGTTTTTAAAAAAAGTCAGAAACAAATGTAGCTTTACTACTTGTCCCCTTACTGATTTAATCCAATTTTAATCTAAAATATTAATCAATGTTACAACCAGCCTATAATTGCAAACAGTTATTCTAAAGTTTCAAACTTATTATAGGATAGCCTATCATACAATTCTTTTTTTTAGAAAGTCTCGTTCTGTCTTCCAGGCTGGACTGCAGTGGCGGGATCTCGGTTCAATGCAACCTGTGCCTCCCGGGTTCAAGTGATTCTCCTGCCTCAGCCTCCCAAGTAGCTGGAGTTACAGGCACCCACCGCCACGCCTGGCCTAATTTTGGTATTTTTCATAGAGACAGGGTGTCACCATTTGGCCAGGTTGGACTCAAACTCCTGACCTCAAGTGATCTGCCTGCCTCAGGCCCCCGAAGTGTTGGGATTACAGGTGTAAGCCACCAGCCAGGCCAGTCTATCTGCAATTCTGAATTGCCCCTGTAATTCTGTCCATAACTCCCAGTATCCAAGGGGATTGTGTTAGGAAGACAGCACCAGGAGACTGTCCTAGCAATTGACTACCTCCCACCATTCTTCCAATTTATTTGCATTTCTTTTAAAATGTAAATAGGCTGGGGGAGAAAGACGTTTTTAAAGACCCTAAAGCTTAGACAAGTATTTATTGAGCTGTTACTATTTACAAGTCATTGCTGTGGAAAAAAGGAAATGTAATGCCAAGCTTATGTTCTTAGTAAACTTAGCACATTGCTGTTATTCATGTATTTAGCCTGAATTATTTTATTCATATGATCAGACATTTTTATTCTCAGAGTCTTCACAATATCTAGATTATATTGAAGCATTTCTGAGGAGGGGAGGCCTGGAACAAAATTTGGTATTGCCAGAGAGTGAATATGGAAAATGACAGAAGCATGATGGTCTGGATTAGGGAAGTAGAAGTGAGTGAAAGAGAAAGAAAGGAAGACAGTAAAAACAGACTTTTGAATACTATTTTACAAGGTTTCTGTGTCTCCTAGACAATAAAGGACATGAGGATAAATCTGTTTGTCATGTTTCTATCTCCTCCAATAGACTGTGAGGGCAGAGAATATCGTTTTACCTCTAAGGCCTATCCCAGTATCTGTTATATAGTAGATATTCAAGAAACATTTGTTGAAGGAAAAAAAAATGCAGGTATCCATTCAAATTAGGAATAATTGCTGTTTTCGAATCTATTTCTACTTATATTTAAGTCAGTGGCGGCCATAGTCTTAAACTGCTCCTACATTAGGCAAATTATGCTCATAACACAACTTGTTCAAGCAATGTCTAGTTTTAATTTTCTCTTTTCCATAGGTGACTTGAGAAGGAGCATGAACTGTCCAGTTCACCTCAGTCATTGCTACCCCCTACTATCTAATGTCCAGTCTATATCACCTCCTGAAATTACTTGTTCTGGCCTAAAGGCATTTGCAATTGTGAGCCTCTAAAATATAATTTAGTCCCCACCTCAGCATTTTGCTCTAGAATTGTTCTTATCTGTCTTGCCTCTTATTCTTTCTCTTCCCTCCCCATCAACTTTCTCCTCTCATTTATTAAAAAAAATGTTATTTGATTACTTGCTATGAACTAGATCCTGTGTGGTAGGTACTACTGTGACAAACAGAAGATAAATTCTCTGTCCTGGGAGAGCTGACAGTATAGTTGGGGAGACTGACAAGTAAATAAACTCTTATGACACACCTTGATTACAATTATGACTAGCACTCTATAAGAATGTATAACTACTCATTCATTTATCTGTTTGATTTTCTTCTTCAACCATTTATTTTCTTTCCCCTTTTGTTTTTCTTATTTTTTTGGAACTAAGAACTATTTTGAATACAGGACTGAGATAAGTTGGGTCACAATTACTGCTAATTCAGAATGGGAGAAAATAAACCATCTATATATTTATTCATTCTTGCCAAATAACATAATGAAAAGCACCTAGAATTTGGAATATAACATAGGTATGAATTATTGTTCTATTGGTGAATAATTTATATAAATGACTTAAACTTTCTAAAATTCAGTTTTCTAATTTGTAAACTGAGGATAATGGAAACTGTCTTAGATTTGGTGTGTTAAAGGATTCAATATGATATATGTGAAGCATGTTATACAGTGGTAATCATTATTAGTAGCTCTTTTTATTCATCCTTTCAACATATTGAGTACCTATTTTATGTCAGGTATGTCTCTAGATTCTAAGGAAATAATGTCCAGTCCCTGACTTCAGGGATTGGAAGTCTAGTAGTGATTGTATTCTAAGACAGATAACTGAAATCATTGCTTTAGCACTTGATTATAAAATGAAAATAATTATGTAAAAAAGTAGATTGTGTTTACTTAATTTTTATAATTTACTAAATTTTGTAATGTTTGTGCTTTCCAATTAACAATTTCAAATAGAATCTTTAATTTTCTTAAATTGTAGATATAACACTAATAGACTTTGGAAATCCTCATCTTTTAGAGTTTGATTATTGTCATAGGTCCCAGATCCTGGCTCTTTCTAATTTTGAATTCATTACCTCCTTTCTAGATTCTCAAAACTTAGGATACTCTACTATGTGACCACACACACACACACACACACACACACACACACACGGTGGGGAGGGGGAATATACCTGTTTGTAGAGGTAGCAAGTGCCATAGGGAATCATTATAGTGCAGTGGTGAATAGCACAGATTCTAGAGCCAGATGTCTAAGTTGAAAACTCACTCTAGTATTTATTAGTTGTAAAATCTTAAGAATTTAATACAACTTCTCTGATCTAAGTTTCCCCATCTTCAAAATGAGGATGGAAATAATTTCCATATTTTATAGGTATTATGAGGATTCGATTAGTTAATATATATAACATACTTAGGATAATAGTGCATAACGAGTGCTATATAAGCGCTAGCTATTACTGTTGATTGTGTCAGAAATATAAAAGTGACTTTATTAAAGCCATACCTTTCTGATCCATATCTGGTATTAAAATGGAGAATATAAGAATCTTTGTTGTGCACCGTCGCGTCCCGCCCTGTCCCGCCCAGTCCCGCCGCCACGGGCGCCAGCATGAGCTCCACGCAGTTCAACAAGGGCCCCTCGTACAGGCTGTCGACCGAGGTCAAGAGCCGGCTCCTGTCCAAGTATGACCCACAGAAGGAGGCAGGCAGAGCTCCGAAGATGGATCGAGGGACTCACCGGCCTCTCCATTGGCCCCGACTTCCAGAAGGGCCTGAAGGGCGGGATCATCTTATGCACACTCATGAACAAGCTACAGCCAGGCTCAGTCCCCAAGATCAACTGCTCCATGCAGAACTGGCACCAGCTGGAAAACCTTTCCAACTTCATCAAGGCCATGGTCAGCTACGGCATGAACCCCGTGGACCTGTTCGAGGCCAATGACCTGTTTGAGAGCGGGAACCTGACGCAGGTGCAGATGTCACTTCTCGCCCTGGCGGGGAAGACCAAGACTAAGGGGCTGCAGAGAGGGGTGGACATTGGCGTCAAGTACTCAGAGAAGCAGGAGCGGAACTTGGACGATGCCACCATGAAGGCCGGCCAGTGCGTCATCAGGCTGCAGATGGGCACCAACAAATGTGCCAGCCAGTCGGGCATGACCGCGTACGGCCCGAGGAGGCATCTCTACGACCCCAAGAACCACATCCTGCCCCCCATGGACCACTCCACCATCAGCCTCCAAATGGGCACCAACAAGTGTGCCAGCCAGGTGGGCATGACCGCTCCCGGGACGCGACAGCACATCTACGACACCAAACTGGGAACCGACAAGTGTGATAACTCCTCCATGTCCCTGCAGATGGGCTACACGCAGGGCGCCAAGCAGAGCGGCCAGGTCTTCGGCCTGGGCCGGCAGATATATGACCCAAAGTACTGCCCACAAGGCACAGTGGCCGACGGGGCTCCCTCCGATGCTGGCGACTGCCGGAGCCCGGGGGAGGCCCCTGAATATCCCCCTTACTACCAGGAAGAGGCGGGCTACTGAGGCTCCCAGCACACTCTCTCCCCACGCCGTCTCCCCGTCTGGGTTTCTGGGATTTTCTGTGTTATCTTTTTTTATTAACCTGTTCAGTGCTGCCAATCAGCCGAGGGTCTGTGAGTGGCTCCTGGGATCAGGCAGCAGGACTTTCTCCCCCTTGCCTTGGTCCTTCGCAGGACTGAGCCACCGGGCTGGGAGGGGAGGGGTCAAGGCCGTATCCTGATGCCTGTAGGGTCAGGGTCCCTGCTGGCCCGTCCAAGCTGTGAGCCGAGCTGTGCTGGGGAGAAGAGACCTGGGCTTGGAGGGAACTGGTCCCTGAAGACTTCTGGTTGCCTCGTCTCTTCTCATTGTGTCACCCTATCAGTTTGTGGTTTCTGTACCCACAAAAGTTTCAGGAAGTAGTAACAAAAGAAAAATACTTTTTTCCCCCCAAGGAATGGGGCGGGGACAGTGGAGAGGGTGCTGGGCAATGAATCCCCTGGAAAGGGGGCCTGGCCAGGATGCTGAATGTCTCAGGCTCCCAAGTGGCTGGGTTTCCCTCCGACCCTCAGACCTGCCCCGGGGCCTGGTTGGGAAAGTGAGGCCTGTACAAGGAAGCGGAATTCTGAGTTGTTGGGGCCAAGCCTGACTCCCCGTCTCCATGCCACCCCGCCCTCCCCGTAGCCTCAGTGGGTTTTTTTTTTAGTTGTTGCCGTGGCACAGCCTGGAGCAATCTTCGCTCACTGTACCTCCACCTCCCAAGCTCAACGGATTCCCCGGCCTCAGCCTCCCAAGTAGCTGGGACTGTAGGTGCTCCACCACGCTGGCTAATTTTTGTATTTTTGGTAGAGACAGGGTTTCACCATGGTGGCCAGGCTGTTCTCGAACTCCTGGCCTCAGATGATCCCTCTGCCTCGGCCTCCCCAAGTGCTAGGATTACAGGCGTGAGTCACTGCGCCCGGCCCTTCAGTAGGTTTTCAGGAGCCCCAGCCGTCCTCCTCCCCTTCTGGGCCTGACCAGCTATACTACTCCACCTCGGGCAACACACCCCACCAAGTACTGCACAGGAACCCTCACCCAGGGGCCCTGCTCCATGAGATAATGTGAAACCCAACTGTGGACCAAACGCAATAAAACCTCTGTTTGTAAGAAAAAAAAAAAAAATCTTTGTTGTAATTACTCTTAATTGGAGGGCAGGCGGGCTTATGGAGCAGGGAAAGAAAAAAATTGACATTCTTATTTTTCAATGGGAACAATACTAAGAGTATATTTGCTCCAGTAATGATGAGTAGATCCAATGGGGGAATGGGTCTTTCACGGGAGAAGACAGGCAGGAGGGAGGAAGGATGCTTTATGTGATAGTCAGACTTTGGTAGGGTTTTGTAGAGCTAGGGGAGCCAAGAGTAACTGCAACAAACCCAGGGATAAGTAGCTAAGATTAATTTTACTCTCTTCAAAGTGTTTCTCAGAGGAACATAGAGGCCTTTAGTATGAAAATGTTGTTATTTATTCATTCCACATACTGAGTATTGTTGTATCAGAATGAAGTGTCTAGACTTGGAAGGACTTCAGAAAACTACTGTGTGTTAAAATTAGGTCATTATGATAGTCATGGATTCGTTTTTCCTTTCTTTCCAAATTTAGTGGCTGTCTTCTCTAAATCTGTTGAAAATAGGAAAGAATAATTCATGTAATTTAAAATCAGCTTAGAATGTTATCTTTCAAATGAAATTATGTTTTAACCACTAGGTCTTTAATTGTGTTAGTGTTCAATCTTTATATATACAGTTTTTGTTTTTGTTTTTTTTTTGTGAGATAGAGTTTCGCTATTGTTACCCAGGCTGGAGTGCAGTGGCGCCATCTGTGCTCATTGCAACCTCCACCTCCTGGGTTCGAGTGATTCTCTTGCCTCAGCCTTCTGAGTAGCTGGGATTATAGGCTCGCGTCACCATGCGCAGCTAATTTTTGTATTTTTAGTAGAGACGGGGTTTCACCATGTTGACCAGGATGGTCTCGATCTCTTGACCTCGTGATCCACCCGCCTCAGCCTCCCAAAGTGCCAGGGTTATAGGAGTGAGCCACTGCGCCCGGCCCAATCTTAATTTTTTTCACAATTGAAATTGTACAGCAAAAAAAGATTCTCAAAATTATATAATTGTAAATGTGGGTGTCCTCAAATTGCTAACACATTTTTTAATTAGCTTTGCATTATAAAGATCACTGTTCCAAATACCCTAAAATATTCCTTTATTCCTTTAAACTAGAAGAAACTCCAATTACAATAAAAGTATTCAACTGTTTTTGCTGTAATTTGTTGTAATACTAGGGAATTTTAATAACTTCACTTTTAAAACAAAAAAAAAAAGATCAATGTATTTTATTTATTTATTTATTGAGTTTGAGATAAAGTCTCCATCTGTTGCTCAGGCTGGACTGCAGTGGGGCAATCTTAGCTCACTGCATTCTCAGCCTCCTGGGTTCAAGAGATTTTTGTGCCTAAGCCTCCTGAGTAGCTGGTACTACAGGCATGCACCACCATCCCTGGCTAACTTTTGTATTTTTTGTAGAGATGGGAATTCACCATATTGGCAAGGATGGTTTTGAACTTTTAACCTCAGGTGATCCACCCGCCTTGGCCTCCCAAAGGATTAATATATTTTAATCAAGGCTAGTATGACTGCAGTTAACATCTAGCAGTCTGTGTGATTTATACCAAGATATTTTATATTTTAGCTTTTCTTATAGGAGACATTCTAAGTGCAGTTAATTTGCATAAGCATAGTATATAAAAGGCAATTTTTTTTAAATTTGTAATAAGATCTAACATTCGACCTAATGATAAGACCAAAACAATAGTTCTTATATAACATATAATTATGCTCTGAAGCTCTAGATACTTCAAGGTATTATCAAGGAAAATAATAATACATTTCAAATATAAAACAGTTGTAGAAATAATAGTACATGCAGCATCACTTGTTACCTAAAAATGAAAGTCACATCAATTATTGGTCTTTGGCTAGAAAGGAGTCAGCTGATTTATAGTTATGGAGTTATGGAGTTCAAATGTCCCTCATCTTTTTCCAAAGCCTGAATGGTAAATTGTCACTCTAAGTATAGACTTTTAAACTGAGTTTCTTACAGTTATTTAATAATTCCTGTTTCCACCATAATGAGTGGTTTAGGTTCACACTATTTTCCGTTTCTCTTGCAGTTATTGTCATGGGAATGAATTAATACATATTATGCCATTTTGTATTCTCGTTACAAATTTGGTCTTGTGAATGAAATTGTTGTTACCCACTTCTTTCTTGTTGCAATGTTTATGACCAGAACAAGATACAGTAGTTTTAATGCCCAGTGCAGTTTGTGAAAGACTATAAACATTTAATATACTCATAAACATAGACTTTAACCTTTTCAATATTCTTCATTTTGATTGGCTGCCCATACTGCTTTATCTCTACAGGTTATTGGGAGTCTAAACAGGAAGGAATGGATAGTGAATCATATTGTGCAAGCCCTGAAAACGTCAAAGTTGTGCAGTTGCTTCTTCTCTTACCTACAATATTTTACAATTTTAAATATTCAACATAAATATTCTAGAAAAAGAAGAAGCAACTGCACAACTTTCAGGGAAGCCTTCATGGATTTAAGTTAGAAATAGGTATAGAAATAAGAAATATGAATTTTTTATAAGTGATGGTGAACACAAAGGAGATATTTTCTTTTTCTAGGAATTTCTGTTACTATAGTGTAGTTACTTTTGAATTTTCTTCCTTAATAAGAATAAGACATAGTGGTGATTTATAAAGGTTAAGCCAGAATAACAGGGTTACTTGCTTTTGCTTTAGGTTGGAAAACCCATAGATATATCCCTGTACACCAGCAATTTTCAATCGTGATGTGACAACAAACTGTTGTGTTTCAATATGTTGTGCGGTGCATCAAAAACAATGTGCATTGCTACGGGTAGTTGCAGTACCAAAGTGTGTGACTTACTTGCCTTGTTAAAAAAATAAATAAAATCAGGCCAAGCATGGTGGCTCACGCCTGTAATCCCAGCACTTTGGGAGGCCAAGTTTGGTGGATCACTTGAGGCCAGGAGTTCGAGACCATCCTGGTTAGCATGGCGAAAAGCCAACTCTACTAAAAGTACAAAAAATTAGCCAGGTGTAGCAGTGTGTGCCTGTAATCCCAGCTACTTAGGAGGCTTGAGCCTGGAGGTGGGGGTTTCAGTGAGCCGATATCTCACCATTGCACTTCAGATAAGGTGACAGAGCGAGCCTCTGTCTCCAAAAAAAGAAAAAAAAAAGGAAAAAAAGTCAGAACAGATTCAATGTTTTTGTTGGTGATAACACTGGTAAGGTCCTACATTACAGTTAACATCTAGGGAATTGCACATAATGCTGGATAAAAAACACAGCGTATGTTGCTCATATAAATATCAAGTGTCATGTGTGTTAAAATGAGGAAAAAAGATGTTGTGAAGCACTACAGTAGCCAATAATGAAGAGGAAAATTCCTCTCCACTCTGTTTAAATAAATTTCAACCATATTGCAATCTTCTGCATAATACACAACGTAGAAAAAGAGGAGAAACAGAGCATAAGAGCTAATATCAAGCGAGCACTTTATGTCAGTCACCAAGGCCGGCGTTTTGTGTGATTATGTTATTAAATTTTACAGCAACTTTGTTAGATAGGTGCAATTATTATTCCCATTTTACAGGCAGAAAAACTGAGATCAGAGGACTTGCTCATTCTCCCACAGATAGATAGGCAGCGAACCTAGAATTCAAACTCAAATAGAAATCCAGAGTACAAAAATAAATACCCAAACACTATACCGATTTGAAAATTCTGGTATGAAGTAGGTGCTTAATAAATATTTGTTGAATTAATGAATGGTTCTGAAATTTTAAACTCATATTTCCATGAGGGATTCCATACCTAGTTTTTGAGGAGTTATTCCTCAGGTACTCATTTAATTGGGTTGCCATATCCTGGGTTGAAATTGTGGCTGATATTGTAAGCAGTTATCTTAGCTAGGACAACCAGAAAGCATTCCAGGTGTATGATCAGGATTTCCAGGGTCTCAGTATGAGATTGAGAGCTCTGTAGGTGCCAGAGACAGGAACTTATTGCAAGTTCCAGGCAAACTCAGAAGAAGCTGGTCTTATTCAGACACTGCTTCTCCAAAAACCTTCTCCCACAACAGAAAAAGAAAAATAAAAACAGAAAAATGAAAAGATCAACATTTACAATGATGAAAATTATTGAATGTTAGGAAAAATAATTTGAGTTAGCTTTGATTTAATTGTAAAAACTGCTTTGATTTTTTTAATTGAATTTTTTCTAGAGATAATTGTAGATCTACAGAAAGTTTAAGACTAGTGTAGAAACACTCATGTGCTCTTTACCTGGTATCTTCCAATAGTAACATATTGCAAAACTATAGTACAATATCACAATCAAAATATTGATGGACATAAATACATCTAGATTGAGCCCGACGAACTCAAAATGCATTCGTTCAGTCTTTTAGGATTCTATTGGAGCACTGCTTACTATTGCACTGATGCAACTCTGCCGGAGTTCATCTCTGTTCCCAGAAGAGCATGACTGACAACAGTAGCAGTAT